CCCCCCCCGCCCCCCATTTATTGATAATCTGGAGGAACCACTCTATTGCCCTCTTGGTAGCAAGGAGTCTATCCTCTAGTGAGGATGCTGTTATGAGAAGCCATCCAACATGGCTGTAGTGCCCTCTGCCCAAGGCAGACCCCTCGGCAGGCAGGGGTATACTCCAGCTCCCACCGATTAACCATAACCGCTAAGCATCAACTGATAAGGATGATGCTAACCGCTTAACCATTCACAACCCTATCCCTAAGAGGGCAGGAAATAAATACCATGTACCAGCCCAGGCATCTGAATTTCTGTTCTCACTCTCCAGTTCCCCTGTGGCACAGACTGTGACCGAGCAGTCCAAAAAACAACACAACACCCATACTCCTTTTGGGACACAAGGTCTTCTTAGCTAGCCTGCAGTTCAGGCTTTCGAATGATGGGGCATTGCTGGCTAAATACAACTTTCTGAATGACAGTCAACTGCCACAGCAAGACCGGTTTCAGTTCCAGTCAATCTTGGAGGAAGGCAAACTGGTGGTAAGGACAGTGCTTGAATCTGTATTTGTATTCAAAGCGGCCATTTCCTCAGGCTCGATGGCTACGAGCATTGCCTTGTGGAGGGAGTCATGGCTTCATTCCTCTGGTTTCCCCAAGAGCTACAAAATACCATTGAGAGCCTCTCTTTTGGTGAATGCCATCTTCTTAATCAGATAAAGGAGGATTCCCTTCACATCCTCTAGGCTTCACGAGCCACACTTCCTTCACTGGGTATCTAGACGCCTGCACCCACGTGTAAATTCTACCTCCTACCATCCACACAAGAGTACAGGACTTCTCACGTCCCAGTGACGGCCTCACGAGCCACCACACAAGCACCAGAAAATCTAATGATCTCACCTCCAGGTCTGCCTTCACAGCCATCCCTCATGCATGCAACCCTCTCAGAAAAGATATTTGAGACACCTGAGAACAGTCATCTGCTTTGCCTACAGCCACCCTGCTCCCTTGCTAGGAAGGGTCTTCTGGCAATCTTCTTATCAGCTTGGAGTGCAATAATGGACAGTTGGGTGCTAATTGTCAATCACTGTCAAACTCATCATGAGACCACATCCATAATCCCGTTCCCGATCCCTCCTCAAGGACCGCTTTCCCATATTTTATCAAAACCCGTCAGTCTCCCAGCATGTAAATTCAGAACATCTAAAAGCCTTGTGGCTCTCTGACAACAAAAGAAATAAAATGGTTATAGTCTAATCATTCATCAAGTGCGAAAATACCATTCGCCTCTTGAAAGTGACAAAAAACTATTAAATATCTTTGCCAGACAACTTTATAAAAAAATGTGGTGCAAAAAAGCAATCATCAAAAGTGGCACTAAACCAACTTTGCTGTTGACAGGAAACAGATGGAAAAGATGCTTTTTACCCTTCTCAGGTAGCAAAGATATTAAAACAAATAATGGTTAGGAACTGTAGTCAAGTGAGTTGGGGGGAATGAGAAGTATTAATGCAACTGGTTACAAATAACTTGTGTTTGTAAAGAGACACGCACCAGATGAAATACAGGTCTCTGCATGCAGAGCCCAATTCTGTATTCAAATGCATGAGAATGGTTCTCACTGAAGTACACAGTGGCTGTATATATATATCTGAGTGGCAGAATTTGGTCCTTGGTCTATTCAGTCAGGCCTCCCTTAGAGATAATTTCTGACATGTGATCTGCAATGAATTGACAAACGCGGACCAAAAGAGAAGGTCAAAGCACTTTGTTTGGTAGGTTCCGAATGAGAGGTGCTCAACACAATTTAATTTAGATTTTATAATAAGAGTTATTCATTAGGGATGTAATAGTGTAGTCGATTAAATTGATAAGCAAAAGCTTACAGGTTAATGCTATAGAGTACACAAAGTTCTCCTCTCACCCCCCCCACCAGTACATTTTTAGTAGGCTGGCCAGCAGCCCAGCTCAGTCCTGGCTCATGATGGGTCTGGGACCTACCCCGGCTGCAGATCTGCATTTAAAGTGTATTAGGAGCCAGGCAGGCAGGCAGCCTGACAGAGTTTTGGCTCGCACCAGGTCTGTGAGCTCAGACCCCCCTAGACAGGGGCTGCTGCCACCCCGCACTACTGCCTCTATCACAGGCAGCAGCACAGGGCGACAGGTAACTGGTCTGTGAGGGGAGCTGGTTTATATACTGGCTCCCCTCATGGACCAGCTCCCACCTGGTACCCAATGCTGCTACCTCTGATACAGAGGCAGCAGTGCAGAGTGGCAGGGACCTCCTTGGGAATGGGGCTAGAGCGCACTGGCTGCCAGCCCCACCCCCGGGTTCTATAGAATAGTCAAGTAACCAACAGGAAATCACGAGGTTACTCGGCTAGTCAATTAACCAATATTTAACATCCCTATTATTCATGTGAAAAATAAAAATAATGGTGTAGGACATTAGGAGACTTCACAACTGGGTAGTCAGTAACTATACTGTGAACTAGAAAAATATATTATATGGGTCCTATTATATTATTCTCGAATTCATGAATTTAAGTATCAAATTCAAACAATTAGAGATTTACAGGGATATCAAGAAATATTACACTACTTCTTTAGAAAGGTGGTAAAAGGAGATAGGATGGCTTTGGGGACTGGTAATGAGAAACCGAGCTTTTCTACTCTAGGTCACTGGATTAAATCCTGCAACGCTTAGTTTGAAGCATGTGATTAGTCCCAAGGGAGCAGGGCTGGATTACCCAATAGGCAGACTAAGCACGTGCTTAGGGCATCAGCAAAGCAGGGGCACCAAAAAAAAAAAAAAAAAGAGAGATTTTATTTTGAATTACATATGGGGGGAGGCACCATAATCTTTTCAGTGTTTAGGGCCTCTAAAGGTCTTAATCCGGCCCTGCATGGGAGCTAACTGTAAGCACGCAAGTAGACCAATTAAAGACTTCTGTGCTTTGCAGGACTGAGGCTGGAGCTCCAGACCTTACTATTCATCTGGGGCTTGATTCTGCAAGGTTTATAGACCTATGTGAAATGACTTGGACTGAACACCAGATACCAGCAGACAAGTGATCATATCACAAAACTGCCACCGTCCTAGGAACTTGCTCGCCCACTTGCAGCATCAGAGAAGGTGTCCAGGACTGACTGGGACAGGGAGGCTAGAATCAGCGTCTTGGTAGAAGCATACTGGCAGGGCATTAGTCAGGGAATCACCACTGCTTTTGCCTGTACTGCACCTTCTCTGAATACGGGGATTGACATCAGCTGCAAGGACTGTCTGTCTGACAGCACTACACTCACACGACCATTTCGAAACATCTACTGCAGAATTCTTTATTGGGGGTTTAACATGCAATAATAATTTAATTAAATGTAAAT